AGCATTTATGGTAAAGGAGGGAGTGAAAACTAATCCAAAGCAAGTCATTTAGAGCCTAATATTTGCAGCTGAATTTGCTCGGAAAGAAAGAAAAAATTAGCACTGAAAGTTTTCCATTTCATTTGTAGTCCAAAATGCATAAAATATTAATAAATATTTATTCAATTTCTGTACTGTGGAAGTGAAAGTCCTTGTCAATATATATCTATTATAGGCCATTTTTACCCAGACACCCAGGTTAAACGGACAAAACAAAAGTCAAGGCCTTCGCATAAAACCTTTCCTCTTTTAAAACTCGACAGAAGGCAGCTTCAAAAGAGGAACTGAAGTCCTTCCAACTGTTTGCCTGTAAGGTGATGGAGATACTTCATGTGAGCAGCAGCAGCATCACATCGCTGTTCCTGAGAGCACTTACACCTCCTTCATCTCTCTGAAGAGACCCTACACAGACGAGAAAATCTCGGCGGCGCAGAGATTTTCAGGCAGGCCAATTGTCGCGAATCAATGGAAGCAATCCCCGAGAGTAGCATGAGCTCAATCTCATCTTGTTGCGAAATAAAAGGTCACTTCATCTGAGAAGGGTTGTGTGAGAATGGAATTGTGAGTCAGAGAAAAAGAGTGGAGGTAGTAAAAAAGAAGAAGAAAAGAACGAGAGAGAGAGAAAAACTGGCGAGTCTTTTACAGTGGGGTGAGTCACCCTCGTATTATTTCATGTTCTCCATCGGCGGTTGTCTGCTTGTCACCACCGTTAAACCCCCACAAACTCCCACCTCCCTTTCTCCGTCGTGGAGGTCTTCTCACAAAGACGGCTTTTGTCCGGGCGTCATCCGTTTCGCATCTTCTCAGCGCTGATCCTGCACGAATGTCGCTGTGGGGAAAAATTTAAAGGAACAGGCCGGGAACACGAAGGGGCCTGGAGGAGGATGAGGTACAAAACCCAAGAGTGACACAAGGAACCCCTGTGAAGCTTCTTGGGATTACGTTTTCACTTCTGGGGTTTCAGATTTAACTGCACCTTGTATTTAGAACATTTTAAAAGCTTCCCTGTTAAGTTTGCTCCTCTGCCTTGTTTCTCACATGGGTTGCATTAGCTGATCGATGCCATCTGTCTCTGCCATAAATCTACTCCAGGGTTTCCTTTATTTAATGAAGCGTCCTTCCCGTTAAAGTTTTTTTGTCTCAGTTCAGCTCTGCCAAACCTCGCTGTGTTTTTAGTAAGAGTGGATTTCCTGTAAATTAGCCTCTTAGTCTCATTCTTTGACTGAACCCTTTGTAATCCATCTGCGTGCTTCCTAAATGCTCTCTGCACGTGGGTCTTCACTGAGTCAGACTGAATGGACTTCCTCGGTATTTAYGCACAGCATGAAGCAGGACTAAGAGTTGTCTGTTGACGTTGAGAGGCGACCGTAACGTTGAGGTCAGCCAATTAATTTGACCAATTATTGGCATGCTTTTTAAACACTCAGTATCTGCCAGGCCTGAGCATACTAAGCCACTTAGCAGTCCAACACAGCTGTGGGCAGCATAGTTTGGTTACACAAGCCAATCAAACAACACTTCACACATTAAGGCTACCCTTAATGGCTGAATTGCTTTTGTTGGCACAACACTAGTAAACCCCCAAAGGAAGCTGACCAAAATATTTTTGCTACCTTTTGAAAGAGCAGTGTCATTTCTATCAGTGCAAATGTCACAAAACCAGGGCAGGTGAGGGCTCGAGGACCCAAATGGTGAAACGTAGTGAGATAAAATGGAATCTGGAAAACACAAAACCCTGCAGTGAAAACATTCTGACAACATGAGGAACTGACTAAAGGAAAACCAGGACTATAAATATACTGCAGGATGATGAACATGAGGAACAGGTTTTTTTTAATTATAATTTCATGGAGGGCGTGACAAAGAGATGGGGAGGCATGATAGCCAAACGATGTGACACTACCAAATAAAACAGAAAAGTAAAGGTGATTAAAAAGAACACAGTCTAAACTGACATGTAAAAAATTAGCAACTGTTGCAGAAAATGCTGAGGCTTCAGTTTTGCGATATCTAATATCTTTAATTATAAATAAGATATCGACAGAGTTGTATAAAGTACCACAAAGTGATACTTGAGTAAAAGTACAAGTATCTTACCAAAAAATTACGTTGGTAAAAGTTTAAGTCTCCTTTAGGAATATTACTTGAGTAAAAGTCTTAAAGTATCTGATAGTTTTTGTACTTGAGTATTAAAAGTAAAAGTAATGATTTAAAATGAGCAGTTAGATTTTCTGTAACGACTTTTATTAGGAGGTGACCTCCCCAGAAAAATGCACAAATGACTTTCATATTAAAATAATGTTTAATTTATGTTAAATTTAGGATGTACTAGTCCAGCTGTTTCAGTTTACATACATATATTAAGGCTGCCCAAACCTTTTCCCCAAAATGAAAATCTATCTGAGGGCTGCGGCCAAATGCAATAATATATTTCATGAAATACAAATACTTCTTAAGTACAGTCCTTTTATTTTAATGATTATGTCCTGCTGGAGTGTGACATGACTCGTTTGTGTACAAACTAATACGGTATCAGAATTTCATATATTTATACTTCTCATTCAGCCACAGTTAAATTCACTCTATCTAGGAGGAACTATTTATATGGATAGTATTTACTTTTTACAATAATAAGCTGGAATGAAAACAAGTAAAAGTGAAATAAAAGTAACGACTTTCTACTTCTTGCCTTTTTTAAAAATGTAAGAAGTAAAAAGTACAGATATTTGTGTGAAAATGTAAGAAGTAGAAGTAAAAAGTAGGCTGAAAAATAATTACTCAAGTAAAGTGCAGATACCCAAAAATTCCACTTAAGCACAGTAAAGAAGTATTTGTACTTAGTTACTTTACAACTCTGGATATCGATTAACTTTATCAACAACAACTAGTCATTAAAAATCACACATTTCCCCACGTTTTTACATTAATCTATAAAACACTCTATAAATCCAAAAATGAGTTCAAGTGCTGCCCTCAACAAACGAGTCTGAGGTGTTTTAGCAAACAGAGAACAGCCTGTGGTGAGGGTCCAGGCCCTCAGACGCTCCATTATCACAGGACAGACAGAAACAGCAGAGCGTTGCACCCATTGTCACCCTGTCTGGTCTGGGGCATGAGCACACAAACTCACTAAAGCAGCAGAGTTATGTCAATGTTACCTTTTTTCAGAATGGCTCCACSTTTATCTGGTTGCTCAACAGTAAATAAAACAAATAAAAAAAATCCTATCAGGACCTTTGTTTACTTCTACTTGCAGCATTTTTCAGCATATTTAACTCCTTAATAAGAAGGAAAATAAAACTCGAAATGTCAAAGACATCCAGCAAAACAATACATATATTTTTGATGAACTATTTGCTGCACTCTTAATGATGAAGAGACCTTTATTATGAGATTAAAGACTGGAGAATTGTGGAAAAAACACATAAAGTACTTAACCAATTAATACGTGAAATGTGTCTTTTGTTTAATTAAATCTGCTACTAATATCCTTAAAAACGACTCACACACGTATACATGAAATGATCCAGTAAAAACACAACATCAGGATCAACTACAGATAAACTGTAAACAACTATYTGATATTTTGGACTTTGATTGGACAAAACAGCATACAATGTGTATTTTACACTTGTTTTATGTTGAATTAATCCTAGAGACGTAGCTAAAAACTAACAGAAACTTAGCAGAGGTGTTGTACATATTGTGAAATCCAAGAATATATTTAAGATAAAACCTATTGTGGTGTGCATATTATTTACACAATCAAAGTAAGTTCATGGAGAACACATAAGAAAATGTAACAAAGAAATAATAAAGATTTTTTTCCCAGTGTGCTCCAAGCTGATGTAATTACAAACTGTTTCCAATATGAAGAAGCACTCATTCTGTTTTCCTAAATAAAATCATTGCACAATCTAAAACACGCCACCCCACCCTGTTTCATTTAACTACAAAAGGCTCTTTGTTTTTT